CCACCCCGACCATGCTGGCAGCGAGGTGCTTCTTTCGACCTTCCTTGTCGATCCTCCTGATGATGTCAGACTCGTTATCAGACACAGTCAAGAGGAAACCCTCGAAGAAGTCTTTTTCCACGAAGCAGGGTGGTAGGCTGAAGGCTTGGGCACCCGCCCCTCCGTCAGTTACATCAGTATGTCCACCTTATGGACAACTCTACTTCCTTCTCAACAACTAGGCTTGGCACTCGGTGTCATGAGAACCTGAGGATCCACTGGATCCCTCCATGGCTGGCTCGTGGGCTGCACCCATGCGCGTAGCTTACTGCGGTTTCACCAATATCTTATTGCTCTTCTTCTCCTTGGTCAACTTCAGCAATCTCTCACGGGGCTCCGCCATGTGACCTACAAAAATAAAGAAAAAGGGCATGAGTCAGCTTTGTCGAAGAAACAAAAGAAGGCAAAAAATATAGTAAAGCAAGCAAGAAAAACCTAAGAGATCCATGGCCTTCCCGTAAGATTGACACTCAAAGAGCGCCTTTGTATTGATTAGACGTGCCATGAACGTCGGCTCGCCATCTTCATCTAGGATGTCATGCCCTTCCCGCGTGACCCATCTGGCGGGGAAGAAACCATCAACGAAACGATTGAGGACACCATATGCCTCTTCGTCTTCGACACTCATACCACCGGCGGAAGTGTGGTAATGCTCGCGACCATGATCATAGTGGCCCGAACACCAGTGGATCGGAAACTTAGAGATCTTCCCAATCTCAGGATTACCCTTGACGTCCAAGCACGGCTCCCCATCCTCGTCCACAACGGTAGCCGGGACGAACAGAGAATCCAAGGCTATTTGGGTAGATGGTTGCAAGATATACCACTTGTCCTTAAAGTCCCAGACATAATCCATATACATTCTAAACATCCTCTTCGACTGTTTAAGGGATACCCAGCTATGTTTCCCTTCTCGGGATTGCAGTTGCAAGTGAAAAACCATGAAGAACATGGGAATGGTCGCCCCGATCCTCAAGAACCGACACGTAAGTTCTAATGCTCGAATAAAGTCGATCGCGTTGGAATGAAGTTGGGAGGGTGCCAAGTTTAAATGACTAAACACCCCCATATGGAAGTCATTAAAAGGAAGCCGAAGCCCAAGGTCTTTGAACACGACCTCATACATGGGGAAGGCGTCCTCAGTGTACTCCAAGCATATGCGAACATCTTGCGCCGGTCTCAGGATTTTGAAGTTTCTCTAAAAACCTTCCTGGACAGCTTCGTACTCAACGACTATGAAGGCTTGCCTCTGGCTGTGACTCTAGATCGATGCTATCCCTTGGGGCTTGGCACCGACCCAATCTAATTTTGGGTCGTCGATTACGTCGACCAAATTAATGTTCTCCTCGACGACGATGGTCCCTTCAGTCTCCATATTCTCTGACGATTTGGGAGTGTCGGCCACTTCCCTAAAAAGAAGAGGAAACTGGTGAATTCGACAGCAAACCTAAATACCCTATTCCGACGATGCAGATGAAAAGGATAAGCAACGCCCAAACCAAGTCGACGGTCATCCACACAAAAAAGGGAAATACGGGGACCTTGACTGGCCCGTGAAAATCATGCCAATCCTCTAAGATCATACCACGATCCTAACAATGAACGCCTGTTTTTCATAAATATACCGGGCACGGGAAGAATATTGCGAGCAGATTATGAATCTCACGACCAAGTTCCTAAATTTGATATCCAAACACATGGAGATCACGTGGAAGACTAACCTAAGTACCGAAGAAAGGATGAATATCACGGGCATAATTATAAATCACACGCTTAAACGCATGAATTCCCCGGGCAGAACCTCCCAAATGCAAAATCCTACTACTAAACATCATCAAAATCTATCTACACACAGGATATGAAGGAAAATAAACACTTGAAGAATAAATGAAGAACGATGGTGGTTGAGGAAGAGTACACGACGGACTCTGCGGCGGATTCAAGGATTCTGGAAAACGGCACGGTATTGACAGCGGAGAAAGTGGAGAGCGTGAAAATATGAAAGTAAATTATGAGCCATGGAGCCCTATTTATAGAGCTAACATGGAATGTGAAACATCGCGTCGGGAAGCTCCCAAGCCGCATTTCTCCTCGACACCTACATGTATAGGTAATGATGGCCCATACTCCCTAGGTCATCATTACTATTCCCAAGAGCCAAACCACGTGTCTGAAAAATGCATCATCTACTCCCCGCGAGTCCTCCTCGAAGCCACTCCGACCTCTACCCAGGGAAAAATCTTGAACCGGCAACGTTCCCCTTCTATGGTATAAAAGCTCCATGTCGAGCAGCGCACCTCGTAAAAGGACGAACTAGAACCAAGTCATGACTCCTTCCCCAGGAGAAACGACTTGGAGGGATCCTGTTCTGGACTGGGCATGCCCTTGGCTCAACTCCTAGTGAGGCCCAATCTAAGTGTGTCAACCTGCACCACTGACCAATTCTATCCTCGAATACGACGGGTGTAATATCCTAAATTTGTCATACCCTCTCACTTTTATCTGGCTTATGCATTTTGCGCTTCTCATCCCATCTAAATACACTCCATTAGATCATTTAACACACCGTGCATCATTAATCAGTAAATTTGGCATGAGAATAAGGATCCCGAAGTTAGGGTTTTGTATGTGCTTTTAGACTCTTATCTTCATTTAGGCTTGAATCAATTGGTTTCCCATTAATTGTGGTTTGTGGAGCTAGGGTTTGTATTCTTGATCATTGAGAACTTCTCTCTCTCATTAAGCTACAAAGTTGTTGTCTTCATCAATGGCAGGATCACTAGGGTTTCACTAAAGGTTTAAGTAAAGACTATGTGAGCAAGGGTTTAAGGTCAAAGTCATCTTGAATATTTTCTTCAAGGATCCAAGACATTGTTATTGCTCATACAATTGAGACATGGTATATGATGCGGATTATAATCAAGGAGTCATTCTTTTAAATTGTTTGTTTCTTGTCATGCGAGTTAATATTGGATTAAGGTTGAAGTGCATTTAAACGATTCCATGGATTCAAACTTGGCTCAATTCATCAAAGTTGTTGGAAGCATACATGGGACCTTATGGAATTATTAAGGCATTAAAGAAGGAATTGAAGTTCAAATTTGGAAAAGAGGGAAATTGGTATTTCATATCATTAATTCGGTTTGTAAGTTACCAATTCCTTACATTACAAGTTCCATTATCCAAAATATCAAATTCCATTCAAAACAATTTTCCATTAGGATTCAGTTGTGATTCTTTTCAAAATAAAACTTATCATTATCAAAATTTCATTACACCATAAACCATTACAAAATTCAATTGTCACATTTCTTTTTATATCAAAGAAAACCATTACACAAACTTTTATTCTAAGCCTAGGTCCAAGTGCTTATACATCTTCATGCTTGCTTCCCATGACAAGATTCCATATTTTTCAAACCTTTTTCTCACTTTGTTCCTTGCAACCAAATCCAAGCACTTCACTATTTGAAACCGTGAAACTGCATAACCAATATCCCGCATCAATAAAAATCAGTCCATAACCAATAAACCAAAAACCAATACAGAAAATCCACTATAACATCCTAACTTTCACAACAGAACCTCTAACAACCTACCTAACTGAACCAAAATAGAAATTATAACCGAAAACAGCAAAAACATAATTGCCAACCAGCCCCTGCATTAACATAACAGTTTAAACCGTAAAACAGATCCAAAAACTTTCCCTATAACTGGCTTCAGCCCTATACCTAATGGTAACTAACAGAGCCAATAGAATTGATCTCCCCAAACCCTCTAACAACCATAACTAACTGTCAAATAACTCACCCTAACTCCTAACCGATTTCATAACTTCCTAACTACTCTTCATTCCAACTAACATCCCAAAACCACATAACAGATTTCTAACTACTTTAAAACAATTCTAACCAACTTTTCTCCGTCCTAAATCAGAGATATAATAGAATTGTTTGCACATTTTCAAGGGAGGATTCAGTTACAAAAACACAACAAAAATTCTCATCAAAAAGATCCAACAGAAAAGAGAGGAGAGAGTTGAGAGTCATAACAAAAAAGAGAATTCAACATAGAAGCTCACCAAATTCAATCCATCCATTCCTCATCTTCAACAATAAACCTTCATCCTCTGTAACCGTTCTTCAATCTCTAAATTACTCTCTGAAATTCTCCTTCTCTCGTCATTCTCTCTTGACTCTCTTTGAATCCTTCCATCATCTTCAACAATTCTTTAATTGAAATTCTCTGCACAACCTTGCTTCCTCATCTTCATCGACTGCACCATCTCATCTCCATGGTAAAATTTTCTCTGCAGCCTTCATCTCAGAGCCTTTCTTTCTCTCTGTTTCAACATTGACGAAGCCTGCAAAAACCCCATTGCATCGACACCTCCAGCATCCTCATCTTCAGTGATATCCCTGCAATCACCACAAGCGATTCAACATCATCAACGCATAACATTGTTGAATCCTCACATCAGCATAACTCAGAAAAGTGCATATAAATATGCATAAGAAGTAGAGAAATCAAGAACACGTACCTGAATCATGCTTGAAGCGTGAAGTGAGATCGAAGCGTTGAAGAGATTCGAGACGTGAAGATAGGAATTGAACAAGACGGAAATCACGCGAATAAAACGAAATCAAAACGCGTCATGGAGGTAGCGTCGAACGTCTGGATTGAAGAAGAACATCGGAGATGGGGAGGTTAAGAATGAAAGATCACTGATACAATGTCGAGGTAGAGGAGGCTCAACAGTAAAACCGAATTGGAGGAGGTTAAACCGCAGACTCAAATTGGAGATCGTTGGTGATGGCATCACGGCGCTGAGAATTGAGGCGAGAGAGGAAGAGAATCTAAGTAGATGGAGAGTCACAACCTATTGAACCCTAATCTTCTCCAAACGGCAGCGTATCATCCCTTTACTTCAATTTTAATTTTTATCGTTATTGAAACATATGCTGAAAATATTTGATGAAGATATCACAGTTTTGTTGGATTCTTTGGACCCATCATCGCTCGCACTCCCTAAGGCCCAATATCATCACTTTTTGGTGATCTTGTTTGTTGGTGAACAAAAAAGGGGTTGCTTGGTTGTTTACAATTGGGCCTTGTGTCGATTCCAACATTATACATCTAATACAGTTTATACACTCCCCTGTTTAGAGTTGTGAAATTTCTTTTTGATTGGCTTTCATTTTAATTTTTCTTGGTCATGATTTTTGTTAATACATGAAAAAACAATAAAAAGATGTTAATATAACTTTTGGAATTTATTTTTAGAATTTTGATTAGAGTTTATTATCATTTTTATGTTTGCTAATCATTTGGTTGCCATTGTTATTGAGAGTTTATGACAGTACTGAGGCAAATATTCTGTGATGTTGAATACTTGGAGGCTAATTCTTGATCATTTGAGCGGAGCAGCTTTTGTAGAGTTCTCTTATCGCTTGCATGGTTTTGAAGAGACAACGGATCTTTTCCGTTCGGTATCATCGTAACTTCATTTTATTCCTCATTTTTTGCACTTTATCATACTTCTTTACCGCTTTTATAGAAATCATGAGAAGTAGGGCTTTACTGCTTTCTGATGCCATGAGAAGTAGAGTAGAGATGTATGACGGGGGTCTCAGTTGCTGATCATGTCAGGAACTCCTTTAGTTTATTTAAAGACCTGTTTTGGGTAATTCCGTATTGTTTGCCATTGTGTGCTACTTGTGTGTGGTTTGTTTAAATCCCTACCTTTGAGTAGGTATTCTGCAAGTGTGTTTATATTTGTTCCCGCATTATTCCCCCATCCCTTATCGAAGTCCTCAAAAGGAGGCGAGCGGGGAGGGTTAGCAAGAAATCGACCCCCGCAACTTCGTCTGTGTCATCCTTAGCTCGTGACGCACCATGAAGCTTCAGAGTTGTGCCTGCTCTTGTGTATTGAGTCGTCAAGCGAGGAAGGGTTCTGCAATCGAACCCCCATGCTTTATCAGGATTTCGCATTGACCGATGCTGATACTCTGTGATCGTTCATATTGACTTCTGTCGCTTACCTCGATCTCTTATATCTTGGTTAGGTGTTCAGTCGCTTTAGACATCACATTTTTTATTTTACATCACTCTCACTTGTTTGTCTCGGGTGATACGCTCCCCTTGGCTAAAGCATTTCTCCTTACTCTTTTATGCATGTGCTTCTTCGAGCTTGCTTGGTTTATCCTTGTACATACCATGTTCCCTTAGGATGTGCTTGTTCCCTTCAGACGCAAGTTAAACCTTAGGTTGCAAGCCATGCATGCTAATATTAGGTATACGTTTCCCTTTTGATTAATCGAAACCTTAGGACTACCATTGTATGATAACATTAGGTTAGAAATAGGCTAGTCCCCCATAGAATCTTTTCTCCCCTTTTGCATATGCATTCTAAAAATTTCTTTTTAGCAAATCATAAAACATGCTAATCTCACTTAAACCCTTTTTCAAGGTAACAAAATACAAACCAACTCAAACCTTTTTATGCGTCCAATAACCTTGTTAAGTGTCAATTTATGCATAAAATACATATCAATTATTGACACTTTGAGATCTTTTATTTTACTTTTGATTAGGTCAAATAGTTAGTTTAGTCATTTTGCGTAATATCTAGAGAGTTTTATAGGTTTAATGTGTTTGTTAGTGTTTCAGCTAAACTTGTGCTGGAAAGATGCAAAAAAATGGAGATTTTAGGCTAACCAAGCTTAACAAAGAAGAGTGAGCTACTGCAAAGAATCGCCCGATGAAAGTAGGCATCGCCCGACGAAACTGATGAAGAGAAAGAAGCTTCAATTCTGTTTTGTTTCACTTCTGGGGCGCCTGGAGAAAGGAAAATTGCCCGGTGAAGCATTCTTGTCGTCGGGCGATTAAAGATGCTCTTTTGGGTTTTTAACACGCTCAACTGGACAAGTGCGGCATCTAGCCAAAATCGTCCGGCGAAACTTTATGGTCGCCCGACGATGGAGCGCAGATAGGCCATACTTTTGGCTACTTTTTACCACTTTTATGGGAACTTTCCACCAACTTTTGCTCGGTAGAGGGAAAGAAATCTGATTTTAGATATAAAGACCTTTTATTCTATGGATAATTACATTACAACATAGAAAGTAGTTTTTTTTTGTTCTTATCTCAAAGGAAGAAGAGAAACAAGAACTCTTGCATTGTTCTTCAAGGAGACTTGAAGATTTATGTTCATCATCATCCTTTATCTACTCATTGAGCAATGTATCATGACAATGAGTAGCTAAACACTTTTTTTATCAAGGTTAGAAGTAGTCAACCTAGACTTAATGTATTTCTTTTAATCATTTTGTATATGAACTTGGTTGAATATTAATACATGTTGAATATCTTTTTATCATTGTTATTTTTATGGTTTGGTCCATTATTGAGAAGTAAGTCCCAATATTGACATAAGATATTTATCTACTAATGAACACACTCTAGACATATATTTGTGTGCTAGTATTCACTTGTATCAAGCACTATAAGTTATCATGTTAATAGTTAGGTTGAGAGATCATTTAAAGATTAACATGATAACACTCACAATATTGCTTAGACATGAGAAATATTAAGAGGATACGTGAATGTATTGATCCTTGATTAGTTCATATGCAAGGATAATCGAATAACTATGGAATAGGTTGATGAAAACTAATCTTGGCACTCTTTTTTATCAAAACAAACAATTTAAAATAACACCCTCTCTATTATCCAAATAAATCTCTAGTACATGAAACTTGATATTTGGTTACTAAAAAATCAAGCATTAGTACTTTATTTATGATTCGAAAACTTATAGACACTCAAACTATAGAACGGCATTAATATCACACCAATCCCTGAGGAAAACGATAATATAAATACTTTTGTTAAAAATACTACAAACAAAATGGCGCTGTTGTCGGGGATTGGCGTTTGACTATTGAAAGCATTGAAATAGTTTAAGTGATTTAAGTTTTTTATTAATAATATATTTCGTTTTTCACTTGTTTTGTTAGTGTTTTCAGATTTTAGTTTATGCGAGGAAGTATTTCTGAAGATCAACTCCTATTCGACCTGAAATCGAAAGGACTTGCAGAAAACTTAATAGCAAAACTAGAAGAAGAAGGAAGCTAGCAAAATAAATAATAGAAAGAGGAGAGGAGTCCACTTCCATTATACCTTTTAATCAAGATATAGAATAAGTTATGGCGGCAAATCCACCAAGAGGTCCCTGTACAAATAGTCCAAGGTTGAATGCTCAATTTGCTAGGAATGCGGACCAAAGGCATTCAGAAATGAAAACTGGAATTTTACAACTGTTGTATCCTAACCCTTTCATTGGGTTAGATCATGAAGATCCTTACACCCATCTCACAAAATTCTATGAGATAGCGGGTGCAATAGGAGCTCCAGAGGAAGATGAAGAGAAAATGTTTAAAAGATTATTTCCATATTCGTTGATCGGTAAAGCTAAGGATTGGTATCTTGACCAACCTAATAACCTCATGATGGATTGGAATAGACTTGAAGAAAAGTTTCTTGAAAGGTTTTTCCCACAATCACATTTCTTGGAAGAAAAAATGGCTATATCGGTGTCCTCTCAAGGTGGAGCCGAGTCATTGAATAAAGCTTGGGAAAGGTACAAATCTATGTTGAGAAAATGTCCAAGTCATGGTTTTGGTGCCATTACCCAAATGCATATTTTTTGAAATGCATTACAACCACAACCAAAACTTTTGTTAAATGCTACGGCGGGAGGATCACTCATGGCAAAGACAACGGAATAAGCGGTGGAAATTATTGAAAGAATGGAAAGGTATGACCATCAAGTCCAACATGATCGAAGTATGGTTCAAAAGAGAGAGGAAGTAAGTGATTCAAGATCAAATGAAGCTCTTTTAGCCCAAAAATATTGTTTGCTCAACAAGTGGAAGAATTAATAAAGCAAATTGAAAAGCTCCCTCAACAACTAAGATAAATTCAAGAAAGGCCTAGCAATCAAAGTCAACAAATTGCTAGTTGTGAGTTATGCAAAGGTGATCTCCAAACCAGATTTTGTCCTCCGGTTGAAGCAGAAGTTAATTACATGGGAAATAAAAATCAAGGATACCAACAAAGGTAACCTTATAAAAATAACCAAGGTTATCATCAAAGAAACAACCAAGGTTATCAACAAGGGTGGAAACAAGATGCCAACAATCAAAGTAGACAAAGTCCTTATCAAATTACAAATCAAAACTAACAACCTCAAGATAGAAGTTCAAACGTACAAGATACTCTTGCTCAATTCATGCAAGCATATATGGAAAATAAAAAGAGTAATGAAGTGGCTATCAAGAATTTGTAGACTCAAGTGGGATAACTAGCCAAGAAATTGGCCGATCAAAATGCTGGTTTATCATTTTCGGAAAATACTCAATCTAATCCTAAGGAGCATTGCAAGGCAATAATAACTAGGACGGGTAGGGTAGTCGGGAATGGTCGTGGTAAAGAAGTTGAAATTAAGGAGTGTGTTGAAGAAAAAGAGTTTGAAGAGGAGATTGTAGTAGAAAAGAACCATGAAAAGGAGTTAGTTGAAAAGGAGTTAGTTGAAAAAGAGAAGTTGAGAAAAAATAAGAAGGAAAAGTTGCTACTTTACCGGTTCAAAATTTTCCATACCCTCATGCTCCTTCCAAGAAGGATAATGCTAGGCACTATGCTAGGTTCATGGATATTTTTAAACAATTACAAATAAATATCCCATTTTCCAAAGCTATGGAGAAAATTCCCAAGTATGCAAAGTTCATGAAAGATATCCTTACAAAAAAAGAAGATCAACGGATCAAGAAGTTATCATGGTTGATGCAAGTTGTAGTGCTATCATTCAATGATCTCTACCAAAGAAGGAAAGTGATCCGTGAAGGGTTACTTTTCCGGTTACTATTGGTGATATTTATGTTGGTAAAGGATTGATTGGTTTGGGTTCTAGCATTAATTTGATTCCTTTGTCTATTGTGAAAAGATTGGGGAATATAGAGATGAAGTCAACAAAGATGACACCTCAACTAGCCGATAAATCCATCACTCGTCCTTATGGTGTAGCTCAAGACTTGCTAGTGAAAATGGATAAATTTTTCTTCCCGGTTGATTTTGTTGTGATTGATATGGAGGAAGACCATGATGCACCTTTGATTCTTGGTCGGCCATTCATGAAGACCGCAAGAATTATGATTGACATTGATGATGGTCTAATGAAAGTCCGAGTTCAAGATAAAGAAGTAAGTTTTAATCTCTTTGAAGCAATGAAACATTCCAATGATAAGGGATCTTGTTTTAAAGTTGATGCTATGGAAGAATCTATTTGGGATTTTTCTAGTGAAGTTTATCTTTTAACACCTCTTGAGAGAACATTGAATAATTTTATTCAAGTTATTGATGTTCATGAAGAAAAGGAGTTGGAATAATGTGTAAAGGAACTTGAAGCTCTAGAAGAAATTCAACCTTGGGACGGAGAAGTTGAAATTTTGAAGAAAGAACATAAAGAAGAAGAGTAAAAAATTGAGTTGAAGATGTTTCCGTCTCATTTGAAGTATGCATTTCTTGATGATGGTGGTAGCAAACCGATTATCATTAGTAATGCTTTATCAGAAAAGGAGGAGCATTGTTTAGTTCAAGTTTTGAAACAGAATCAAAGTGCAATAGGTTGGGTTTTAGCAAATTTGAAAGGCATAAGCCCGACTTATTGTATGCACAAGATTTTTATGGAAGAAAATTTCAAACCCATAGCTCAACCCCAAAGACGATTGAATCCAACAATGAAAGAAGTTATGAGAAAGGAAGTTGTGAAACTATTGGATGTCGGGATGATTTATCCTATTTTCGATAGTACTTGGGTGATTCCGGTGCATGTTGTCCCAAAGAAGGGTGGAATGACCGTGATAAGAAATGAAAAAAATGAATTGATTCCGACAAGAACCGTAACGGGATGGAGGATGTGTATCGATTAC